TTTAAATAGTCTTTTTGCAGTTTAATATTCACAGACACTAGTCTACTAACTTTTCAATCTGCTATGTTACTGACTGTACTGAGAAACTATGCTGACACACCGTGTCTGCGACGCGACAAAGTGACCGTTGAAAATCATTTGAACTTTGCGTCAGTACATCATAAATAGAACGCGGCATCAGTTTACTGTTCGGGATTTGTCGTGTCATGTCGCGTCGTGTTGCGCCACATCCAGTGAAGACAACATCACTGATAATGGGTTCTATTGTATTTTGTTGTGTCGCGCCGCTCGCGTCCGGTGTAGACACCCAGTTAGGAAAAGTGATGTGACCGATGTGATAAGCATGAGTTCTGGGCCGCGAAGCCATAATGCGCCATAGACACGTGCTGTGATGCGCAGATCAGCTCTAACGTCACTGAATCTGCTGTTAAAAATGAACCATCCATTCTTCATATCATCATGCAAAAATAAGAATTAGAATCATTGTAATGTGACGATCAAATGGTGGGTGGCGGGTGGATAATTTATTTGAAGCAGTGGACTCGGGTGAAGTTTGAGCTCATCCGCGCATCTCTACACTACAGTGACCTTTTTCGCCAGTAGCAAACAATGGAGTGTGCTCTGCTGGACAAACAAGTTCTGGACAAAAAAGTAATTACACCATTCAGAAGCACTGTATCTGCGTTATATGTTCTGTAAAAAAAAATTCATATCGGCAGCATATTCGCCGATACGATATATCTGCGACAGGCTAATTTCGGCAAAACGATATATCGGTCGGGCTCTAGTAAATAGCCTAATCTTTTGTTATCCTCGCAGCGTGTCAGTTATGTGGTAGCCTAATTAATGCGGGGCAAATTAATTGTAATCTTAATATAATAATAAAACTAACTTCATAATAATAATAGGCCTAATAAAATAAGAATGAACAGGCCTACATTAATTGGACATGCCAAATCCTCTTAATATTGCCAATAAATAATGTTTTTGACAATATCTCTGGCTATCGTCGATACAAGATCATCGTCTTTCAATGCAACCTAGCAAGGGGAGGTTATCGCGGGCACGTCCGCTATGCCACTGGACAGCACGTTGCCTGTTATGTCGTTTGGGCTGTCTTGTTGAGCACAGTGGAACTAAGAAAATTATATTTCACACACTTTAAGCTCTTTTATTTTCCAGATGTAATAAGTTTAGTCCATCGAATCATTCGGTTTGTAATGTATACCGAACCGAAAGCCTTGTACCGAACGGTTCAATACGAATACGTGTATCATTACACCCCTAGTAAATATGCCTCCTTGAGATCTGTAGCGGTAAACAATTTTTTTCTATGTACAGAATTCAGAGATTTAGAATATTGATACACAAATCTGTGATTTGAATTCTAAGATAACTGTTGAAAGCTTCAGATCCAGAACAGGGAAAATGCCTCATTCCTTCTTGATAGAGTTGCCACTCTGCCTAGAACAAACTTGGAATAGAAGACATTAGTGGGCCTTGCATCCCAGACAATATTCCCCCCAACAATGACCCTGATTATTGGTCCTCAGAGAAGGTGAGAAGGTGAACCCAGTCTCTAAAGGAGTGAAGACCTCACTGACCATCAATGCGGGCACTCCTCCCCCTGTAAGGTGTTTTGCTGGAAATCCTGCATAAAGATTGCTGTTCTGTGAAGCACCCTTGGAGAGAGTTTGTGGTAATGAGAGCAAGCAATTGACAGCAGTGCCTTAGCACACTAGACAGATGGTGAGATCCTTTATGGAGATAGCTCTTTATGGAAGCCATGAATGTTTGGCTGGTCAATGAAATGAAATCTCCCCTCTGTTCAGTGCTGGTAAGCCTGTTATCAAGACAGCACATTGTTCTCTGTCTGTGACAGCTGGGGTGGGAACTCTGGTCCTTGAAGTCCTCTGTCCTGCAGAGTTTAGCTCCAACCCTGATCAAACTCACCTATGTGTAACATTCTAGTGATCCTGAAGACCTTGACTAGGTTGTTCAGGTGTGTTTGATTAAGGTTGAATCTAAACTCTGTAAGACATTGGACCTCGAGGGCCAGAGTTGCCCACCCTTGTCTATAAGATACACACAACTTTGTAAACCTTGTAGAAACCTTGCCGTAGAAAAAACAACAAAAAGGTATTTTACTCACCTAAAGTTCTCAAAATTGACGGCCAAATAAATAGTAACTCTACATTTTCTCTCTTTCTGGATGGTTGAACAATGTGTAGTGTACTGAGGACATATGTAGGTGGCACAAGTTGAAAAAATTTTAAATTAAATGCTGAGCCTGTGCAGTAGGTCATATACAGAAGGGGGAGGGCTTCCCTAGTGCATTGGTTCCCAAACCTGGTCCTGGAGTACCCCCAATGGTACACATTTTGGATGTCTCCCTTACACCCATTTCAGATTTTGGAGTCTCCACTAATACGCTGATGAGTTGATTCAGGTGTGCTTGATTAGGTAACCATACAGAATGTGCAGAGTTGTGGTTACTCCATGACCAGGGTTGGGAACCAATGCCCTAATGCAGTGGTTCTCAGTTCCAGTCCTCGCGCACCACCGCTCTGCACGTTTTGTATCTTTCTCTTATTGCTTCAGACGTTTGTTCTATTCGACCATAAGTGCCCTGCAAAGTGGACATCACAGGATATTTCGCCATGATTCCAGTCCAAAGGGACCTATATGTTCCATTAACAGGGCATTGAAAGTGCACAAGACGTGAATTTAAATTGTATTTATTTACAGAGGTATTATGTCACACTTCACACTTCTCTAGTGAGTTTCGTCTGTGTGTGAAGATGCTGCAGGCAGTGGCTTTGCGCAAATCCGTGAATGAATGTTCTGAAGTGAAGTAAACTTCAATTTCCCCTGCTCAGGGAGTAGGGAGCAATGAACACTGTGTAGGGACCATGTCATTTGGAACACAGTTCATGCATGGAGCTCTCTTCTAACGAGCTGGTTATTTGAATCAGCTGCGTTAAATAAGAGAGACATGCAAAATATGCAGAGCAGTGGTACGCGAGGACTGGAATTGAGAGCCCTAGTGCACTGACAAGTGGTCTAAAGGCGTGGTAGTGTAAGGCTTCATGAATGGCCATACAGTTGCATGTACTGTACCATAATGAGATGTTGAGTGAGTCAACCAAATCTTTTGTTATCCTCGCAGCGTGTCAGTTATGTGGTAGCCTAATTAATGCGGGGCAAATTAATTGTAATCTTAATATAATAATAAAACTAACTTCATAATAATAATAGGCCTAATAAAATAAAAATGAACAGGCCTACATTAATTGGACATGCCAAATCCTCTTAATATTGCCAATAATTGATGTTTTTGACAATATCTCTGGCTATCGTCGATACAAGATCATCGTCTTTCAATGCAACCTAGCAAGGGGAGGTTATCGCGGGCACGTCCGCTATGCCACTGGACAGCACGTTGCCTGTTATGTCGTTTGGGCTGTCTTGTTGAGCACAGTGGAACTAAGAAAATTATATTTCACACACTTTAAGCTCTTTTATTTTCCAGATGTAATAAGTTTAGTCCATCGAATCATTCGGTTTGTAATGTATACCGAACCGAAAGCCTTGTACCGAACGGTTCAATACGAATACGTGTATCGTTACACCCCTAGTAAATATGCATCCTTGAGATCTGTAGCGGTAAACAATTTTTTTCTATGTACAGAATTCAGAGATTTAGAATATTGATACACAAATCTGTGATTTGAATTCTAAGATAACTGTTGAAAGCTTCAGATCCAGAACAGGGAAAATGCCTCATTCCTTCTTGATAGAGTTGCCACTCTGCCTAGAACAAACTTGGAATAGAAGACATTAGTGGGCCTTGCATCCCAGACAATATTCCCCCCAACAATGACCCTGATTATTGGTCCTCAGAGAAGGTGAGAAGGTGAACCCAGTCTCTAAAGGAGTGAAGACCTCACTGACCATCAATGCGGGCACTCCTCCACCTGCAAGGGGTTTTGCTGGAAAACTAATACGCTGATGAGTTGATTCAGGTGTGCTTGATTAGGTAACCATACAGAATGTGCAGAGTTGTGGTTACTCCATGACCAGGGTTGGGAACCAATGCCCTAATGCAGTGGTTCTCAGTTCCAGTCCTCGCGCACCACCGCTCTGCACGTTTTGTATCTTTCTCTTATTGCTTCAGACGTTTGTTCTATTCGACCATAAGTGCCCTGCAAAGTGGACATCACAGGATATTTCACCATGATTCCAGTCCAAAGGGACCTATATGTTCCATTAACAGGGCATTGAAAGTGCACAAGACGTGAATTTAAATTGTATTTATTTACAGAGGTATTATGTCACACTTCACACTTCTCTAGTGAGTTTCGTCTGTGTGTGAAGATGCTGCAGGCAGTGGCTTTGCGCAAATCCGTGAATGAATGTTCTGAAGTGAAGTAAACTTCAATTTCCCCTGCTCAGGGAGTAGGGAGCAATGAACACTGTGTAGGGACCATGTCATTTGGAACACAGTTCATTCATGGAGCTCTCTTCTAAAGAGCTGGTGATTTGTATCAAGTGTGTTAAACGAGAGACATGCAAAATGTGCAGAGTGGGGGACCAGGATTAAGAACTGCTGGTCTAAATGTTTATACTGTATATAAATACAAATAATACAGCAAAAACTGTAATACTGTAAATTATTATGGATTTGTTGCGAGGACTGGAATTGAGAGCCCTAGTGCACTGACAAGTGGTCTAAAGGCGTGGTAGTGTAAGGCTTCATGAATGGCCATACAGTTGCATGTACTGTACCATAATGAGATGTTGAGTGAGTCAACCAAATGAGAGCAGACTCTGATCTTATCTGCATCCTTAAATTCAAAGCATACAGTTGGTGCAGTAAAAAAGGTTTTGAACAGTTTATTTAAAATAAACTGGATGTCAGCAGCTCTGAATGATAGGGTTTTGTTCTGACACTACCAACTCTACTAAACACACAGTCTGTGTTGACTTTGTATGATTATGTGATTGTTGTTTTGATTCATGTTAACACATTAACGCATGCTGGTGGTTCACATGTCATCCTGTGCTGAAGTATGAAGTAACTTAATTTCACTGTTGACCTGTGAGCTTAACTTTACACTGCTTGGCTTGGTGTGTGTTTTTGTGTGTCTGTGAACTCTTTACTGAAATCTAACTAAACTATACTCATCTAATCTAGAGTTCAGATGTCCCCAGTTGGGTTTTTTCCTCAGTCGATGGAATCACTCAACTCTGAGAGGGCTGTGTTCAGAGGCCCACGTTGCTGGTTATCCCAAGACTGGGATCACTTCTATCTCACTGTAATTTGTGTGTGTGTTTCAGGTTCCCCTGAGTGCAAGTATGTCTCAAGTGCGTCTCCACTCCTCTAATCCTAACCTATATGCGGAGTTGGCTGATTTTCAAACCCCGGTCCCACGTCTGACTGACAGTATCGACAGCGCCGGTGACTACATCAAACTGCAGGAAGATTTCTGCATAGTTGCGCAAAAAGGTGAACAAAGCATCCATTCCAGTGTCACTGGATCTGCATTGCCATGGCAAGAGAAATTTTGTGTTTTTAATTTGAGATTTTCTTTAGTGAATTGCTTAAAAAGACTCAAACTCACCAATTTTGAAAAAGTGAAAAAAATATTTTTGGGGGAACTTTCTGAATCTGTGAGCTCATTGTTACTGTTACAGTGTTGTGTACAAGTTTGTAAGACTAAAATTAGTAAAGTAGTCGGGACGCATTTTTTTTTTATTGGAGGTTCCCTGGATATGTTGGAAACACTGCTTCAGGCAGTCAGTTACACACTGAAAAACAAAAGGTGCACAGCTGTTTTTGAGTGATAGCAGGCGACAGGTCCAGGTCACAGGCTCTGACCCGGAGACACAGCCTGTACTCAGCATGAACCTATGTGTGTGTCTGTTGCAGTGCACTCTCTTCTGAAGTCTGCCTTCAACACTGTGGCCATAGAGAAGGAGAAGATTAAACAGGTGTTGTTGGAACAGGAGCAGACCGGCCAATCAAATCAGATTATAACCCTCCGTCGCTCCCTATCACAGGTCAGCTCCGCCCACCACACACTGTTACTGTTATAATCAACAAAAACGGAGTTCACCTTTTATTTGTGTACATTTACACAATATACATAGGACTTCATTAATTGCTGTATGTTTTTAGTAAGACTTTCAACTAATGTTTAAAAGTTTGGGGTCTTTTTTTTTTTTTTTTTAAGAAAATTGATACTTTTATTAAGTAAGGATGCATTAGATTGATTGAATTAAAAATATATATATTTCAAATAAATGCTGTTCTTTTGAAATTTCTATTCATCAAAGAATCCTGGAAAAAAAAAATCACGGTTTCCACAAAAATATTAAGCAGCACAACTGAATCATGTGACACTGAAGACTGGAGTAATGATGCTGAAAATTTAGCTTTGCATCACAGGAATAAATAATATTTTAAAATAACCACCATTTCCATTAAACATATATTTTATTGGACTGTTACGGTTTTAATGCAAGTAGAACACTTTTTTTATGAAGTACGCTCACTCAGGGACTTGTTTAGTAAAATTTTACCTGAAAAGATTTTAGATTTTTTTTTTATGTTTTAAAAACAAAATTTAAAAAATCTTGTATAAGTTTATCTTGCTGTGTTTTTGTGTTTACTTGTATTATTCCAACTCAGTTTTTGCCATGAAGATAGACTTAGATGCTGACATGGCAATAACTACTACAACAACTATTAACTACTACAACTAAAAATAAATAACTACTACAATTTAAAATATATTTAATTAGGAAACAGTTTGAAATTTAAAACTTTAAAAATTAAAACTTTAGATTGTAATAGTAGTTTACAATATTACTGTACTTACTTTATTTTAATAAAATAAATGCTGCCTTGGTGAGCAGAAGAGAATTCTTTTAAAAAACATTTAAAAAATCTGTCCGACCCCAAACCCATTTAGAATCAGATTCACAGTTTCATCCTCTAGCCTAAGACAAATAGATTTGTTATAAAAATATATTCATTGAATGCAAGTTAATGTCTCTAGATCCAGTGTTTTTGTGTGTGTTTTTTTTGACCCTTCATACACTCATCTTCTTACTTGTTCTGGATGATTGTGTTGTCTAGGTCTTGTCCCAGAATGCTGAGCTCAAGACCCGTCTGAACCGGATCCACTCTGAGTCGGTTCTGTCTGACCAGGCCGTCAGTGTGAACATCATCAGCAGTCCTGACGAGGTCTGATATTCTTCTGCTCCGAACCATTTAAGTTCCTAACAGTGAAATGTGTTGGATGTGGATGGGCTTTGAAATTATTTGGAAAATAGGCAGGTCAGGATATGTGGAATCTAATTGTCTCTTTTTATGTTTGAGAAGAGCATAAAACCACCTGGAGCTATAGGGGTAATCACCCATTTTCTTGATCATAAAGACAGTCACTGTTTAAGCTTGAAATCTCTTACATTTGCTCTCGTTTGGGTCTTTAAAGAAGTGAAAGTGACACTCAGTACTCTGGCCTTATACACTTTGGCTGCAATACAACCAAACAGAGCAATCATTAGACATAATGAGTCCCACGAGATGGCTGCTCGTACTAATCAACCATGTGTTTAACTATTGGCAGCAGACATTGCGTTTCAAGGCTTTCACTTTCTACAGGACTTAAATCCTTCAGCTTTTGTGCTCCTCACATCAGGTTGTATATCTTTGTGCGATGGCCTCGAGCATAAGTGGCTGCCTGTGATAAATTTTAGCTCTACAAACACAAATCTGCAAGTGACACACCGAAGTAACCCTGAAATCCTTTAATCGTGTATGTTTGTGTGTTTTGTAGGCAGGTGACCCGCTCCAAGTGGGCATCCCTCTCTCTCAGCAGGTGTCCAATGAGAGCAGACTCTCCATGTCAGAGTCAGTGTCTGAGTTCTTTGATGCTCAAGAGGTGCTTCTGTCCGCCAGTTCATCAGAGAATGAGGTGAGATGTCTGTTTGTGTGTGTTAATGTTAAAGTTATTTATATATATATATATATATATATAGTGCTGTTGACATGAAATTTTCAGTACATAATTCCCATATTTCCACGAGTGACTTGTAGTAATTATTATTATTATAAAGAATGACTAGATGTGTCCAGACTTGTACATATTCAAGCTCAAGTGAATCATTGCAATTACCATTTAGGATTTATCAGCTGTCAGTGTCATCTGTGTAAGCATGGTCTGTTTGTTTAAGTGTGTTTATTTGTATACTTGCACACTGCACTGCAGTAGGTCATTACACACACACACACACACACATTTTACAGTTAGTCAGCACTGCGCAAAATGAAAGACAGTGAGTAACATCTCTCTCTCTCTCTCTCTCAGGCCTCTGATGACGAGTCTTACGTCAGTGATGTGAGTGATAACATTTCAGAGGACAACGCCAGCGTCACAGATAACGTTTCCAGACAGAGTAAGATCACTCTCCCTCCTCTTCGTTTTGTTCCGTTCATTAGAGCAGGACGCCGTCCTGATGGGACACATGACCTTTGCGTTACACACACGCACGCACACATACACACACATGCACACACATGCACATGCTCTCTCCCTCCAATAGATCCAAACACACGCACACATCCACACACATGAACTGAAAGACAAATCCTGTCACAAGCGCATACAGTACATAATATATTATCTACAGTGTATTAATGTAAAGCAAGTAAAATTATGACTATTGTAATGTGAATATGAAATGCAAAGGGATTAATATCACAGGATCTGTCAAGAGCATGTTGGGGTCATATTTCACCCCAAAACCTAAAGAAAAGACAACATTAGTTTAAATGTTTAAAAATTTAAAGATTGTTTTAGGACCTTTTTGTTTTGAGTGTTTTGTTTTGTTTTGTTTTTGTCTGCATTTTGCATTTTGATGTTATTTTCAGGAAAATGAATCACATTTATATACTGTATATTCACATTACAATAGTTACATTTTATTTAATTTATGTAATATACTGTAGAATTATGGGTGTTATGAAAATAGTGCCATCATTTCTTATTACAAAATTTAAGTTGTTTTTTTTATTTCCCTTTGATGTTGGGAAGACATGTGACTTTGTTTTGAATTAATGAAAGTATCACAATCATTATATTGCAGACAGTGTCACTGTAGAATTATTGAGGTGCTAATATAGTTTGTATTAATATTTTGAATTTTTTATTTTTAGATTTTCCATTTTTAGTTTAGTTTTAGTAGTTTTGTTGTGTGTTTTCGTTTCAATATACATGTAGTTTTTATTCATTTTAATGTCAGTTTTAGTTATTTTTAGTACATGAAGTTTTCAGAGTAAATGAAAATGGGAAAAGTTTACATGTTTTAATATTTTATTTCAGTTAATGTTTATTTTATTTCAAGGAATGACAATGTTTTTATGGTTTTAGTTTTAGTTTCAGTTAACTATAAAAACCCTGATTGTTTATACTCGGTATATCCTGCAACCCTGGTATCCCACGAGTAACCTTGTGTTTCTCCCTCAGTGCCTAATGGTGATCTGGCCAGTGGTGCGTTTCGTAACGGTAGACGTACGTGTCTCCCTGCTCCCGCCCCTGACACTTCCAACATTAACCTGTGGAACATCCTGAAGAACAACATCGGGAAAGACCTGTCGAAAGTGTCCATGCCAGTGGAGCTGAACGAGCCCCTGAACACACTGCAGCACATGTGTGAGGAGCTGGAGTACACAGAGCTGCTGGATAAAGCAGCTCAAACCGACGACCCCTATGAACGCATGGTACGCTCCAGCTCTTAAAGTGACAGCTCACCCTAAAATACAAATTCTGTCATCAGTAGCTCATTTTTATGTCGTTCCAAACCCATTAGACTTTTGTTTAAAACACAAATAAACCTGCAAAATTTCCGTCCCTCCATTAAAAAACCAATTCCACCAAAATCATAAAGACATTATAATCCATATGAATCAAGCGGTTTAATCCATGTCTTCTGAAGAGACACAATCACTTTATATGATGAACAGATTTAAGTTTTATTCACATGTAAACATTTATCAACCTACATAGAGCACATCAATTATGGTCAGCGGAAGGTGAAATGTGCCTGCTTGATGCACAAGAGCGAGCCTCATCTACATGGATTACTTTTACAATGTCGTAATGAACTTTTTATGCTTACGAAGCATCAAAGTTTTAGTTACAAGGACTTTCAAATGTAAGGACTGGAATCTCTCAGGTTTCATTAAAAATTTTCTTTATTTTGAGTTTTGAAGTTGAACGAAAGTGGGTGGAATGACATAACGGTGAGTAAACGACGACAGAATTTCCATTATTAGGTGAACTGTCCCTTTAAGAGAGTTACTGGATCTGAATTTTCAAAAGACATACACCTAACAAGCATTTGAAACTGTTCTTTATTGGCATCAGTGTTTCCATGAAGAATCTTTAACATCTATGGAAACTTTCCATTCCACACTAAAACACACTAAGGATCTTTCATGAACTGATCACTGAAAGGTTTGACAGGTTTCTTTGGTTCTTCTATGGCATCACTGCAAAAATACCATTATGAGACCTTTATTTTTAAGAGTGTAGGTATAGTTGCTGGTCTAGTTGCTCTAACAAGCTTAACCGTAATGCTCCACCAAATCAAAATCAAGTTCATCAGTCAGTAGTCCAGCTTATCAACCATTAAGGGGAAAGTCGTGGCCTAATGGTTAGAGAGTCGGACTCGTAACCCAAAGGTTGTGGGTTCGAGTCTCGTACCGGCAGGGATTGTAGGTGGGGGGAGTGAATGTACAGCGCTCTCTCCCACCTTCAATACCACGACTGAGGTGCCCTTGAGCAAGGCACCGAACCCCCAACTGCTCCCCGGGCGCCGCAGCAAAAAATGGCTGCCCACTGCTCCGGGTGTGTGTTCACTGCTGTGTGTGTTCACTGCTGTGTGTGTGCACTTTGGATGGGTTAAATGCAGAGCACTAATTCCAAGTATGGGTCACCATACTTGGCCACATGTCACGTCACTTTATTGGCTTGAAACAACCAGCGTAGACTAGCAAAGTAAAACCAGCTACATATAGTTTTATCTTGATTTTCCAGCAGGGAAAGGTAGTCCAGAGTGCGAGGACAGACTTGCGCTCACACAGAAGCGTGCCCACACACGAATGTTCATACGTAGCGATATAACAGGAGCTGTTAGGTGGCTGGTGGAAGGGTGAACAGGGCCTGAAGCAGGAACACATGTCCCTTGAGGACAGGCAGGTGGGCATTTACCTCTGGCCTCATTAAGTCCTTTTACTGTAGCCTAGTTTGTGTCCACACACAATGACGCACACTCTGACACATTCGGTCGCTCGTTCTCCACACTGCAGCGCTACTGATACCGTAGTAATGATGCTGCAGTGTAGGCGGCTGACTGCTGGACTGCTTTAGACTTAGTGCTGCACATTTACTGTTGCAGGCTTTGTCTCAAGAAAATGTTGTTTCTCTCCACAAAACAAACAAAAAATAGAAATAAGAAATTATATTTTATATAAAGATGCTGAATGATCTTAAGTGCCTTTTGACAGTTTTTTACAGTAGTTTTTTATTACAGTACAATACAGTTAAGAACCCCCATTTCCATTACTGCAAAGAATTTTAAGTTAAAGTTTGTGTATCTAATTTTAATTAGATTCTCCTTACTGTAATACCATTTTTCTTCAATAATTAATGTTTTAATCAGCATAAACAGCAAATACCATCATGATGTACTTTACAGTTTAAATAAGATTTATTATTATTACAGTTTTTCTGAATTGCTAAAACACTAAACCCCAATCTCTGAACCAAATTCTCACTAGCTTAAACCAATTTGTCGAATAAAGCACTCCTTCTGCTAAACCTTAAACACGTTCAGGCAGTTAGGCTCTTTTTGCAAATCTCATGCACTCTTTTTGCAAAACTCTAAACACATTCTCATTCACTTAAACACTTATCACACTGAATACAACTAAAGCACAGTTATCATCGTTTACACACAACGATTCAAAATTGTTCACACTTGTTTCTAATGATGTGATCAAACCAACTGTACAAAATATGAGCCAGTTCAGAGTGCACAAGTGGCACAGGTGACTGAATGATGATAC